ACTGTCCAGGTCCTGGTTCCACCTGGTTCTGGTGTAGAAGCTCTTGATGATGTTGTTCTCTGGATGTTCTCCTGCTGGAATGTTCCTCTTCTTCATCTGGTCAGTCAGTATCCTGGTTCATCCTCAGACATTCATGGAGCTTCTAGAAACGTCATCAACACCTTCTGCCCTCATGCAGCCCCACATCATGATGCTGCCACCTCCGTGCTTCACTGTCAGGACCATGCATCCACTGTGGTGGTCCTGGCTTGAAGGGGAGGATGAGGAGACAAACACGCAGAGTCTTTGCCAGGACCTTTGGAAGAGATGAGTTCATCTTCCTGGAGCCAAATGTCTTGTCTTTGGGCTTTCAGAGCAACATGAACAGTTGTGACCAGTCCGTACGATCACACACATACAAACAGGAAATGAATTCAAAATGCACGCCACAAACAACCCAAAGGATATTTTAATATTCAGGCAAAAGTATTCAAATTACAAAACTGAGTTCTGCAGTCAAACATCCCCAACATACGGTGACATGGGAGGAGGTGTCCACAGGTGGCCCCTGTGAGTATAATCCATAACAGGAAATACCAAAATAAAACAGGAAATAAGCAAAACATGACCTATGAGCGGGAGCTGGATGTGGCCGTGAAGGTGTTTGTATGACAACACAAAGCCTGGAGGAGGAAGCTGTTGGATGATATGTGGACAGACAGACGTCCTGAGTTCATCCTGTAATCCTGAGCAACAGCAGCACCTCATGATGAGACGTCTGACCGGCTTTAAGGATCTGAACTCAAAGAATCAGCCTTATGAAGCTGAAACCTCTGAAAAGGGAAAAGAGGCTGGAAACTTTCAAATGAAGGTGGTGTAGATTTATCACCAGTTTCTCTGCTGAATGATCCTCACATGTTGTTAAAGGTCCTCATGAAGACGTGAAGCAGCTTGTATGTCTGCACATATAAACCAACATCCGCTGTGAGAATCTCAGGTACATTAGAGTTAACGGACCAGAAGAACCCACAAACATGGAAGCTTGGAGGAAAACTGGAACAGTTTAGTTTAGTGTGAAAATGGCTGGTGTCGGCGCTGGTACCTCGTTGAAGTTGTGAAACTGGGTTCTGCAGGCGGTTGACAAACACTGAGAGTTTCTGTGGTTCAGCGGAATAAAGACTCTTCTGATCAGCACCGGCTCTGTTCGTACATCAGCATCTGGGTCAGACACTTCATTAACATTTTCTTCTCCTAATTCTTCTAATACTTTTCTTGCTGCCAGTAAAAAGTCAAATATTTCTCATTCAACAACTGAAACACGAAGCTGTTGTTTTTTAGAATGTTGTTGAGTTGCAAATGATGAAAATCAAATGAAAGTTGAGGGTTCGTGTCAGATCAACCATACGTCTGGTCTGGTTCGGGTTTTCTTTACCACTGAATCCAGATTCTACAACAGGACGTGAACGGTCCTTGTCTGTGAGGAAACATTCCTGATCGTTGATTCAGTGGCTCCATCTTGTGTTCGGTTCTGTTTCCTTTCACAAAGACCGTGTAGCTCAAAGTATGTGGAGGCCCGACACCCAACCCACATTCACACCAAGTGAACTCTGGTGAGGTGTGATGTTCCTGCGTCGGCTCAGAAACTCCTGCTGGTTCTGGTAGGACTCCGTTAGAAACCATCACACTGCTTCACAGTGTTAAACACCACAGCTGGGGTCAGTATGAGCTACACCTGTGGACCAGGTGTACCTGCCAGTCACCAGCAGGTTGGGAGAGATTCTGATTTGATGACAAGGAAAGACAAAGTGACAAAGATAAATTCACCGTGACCAGAACCTTCACAATTTATTGATATTTTTGTCTGTAACGTTTGCTAGACATTTTAATAATTGTTTTATAAAACTGTATTGATATTTTCTAACATTATGTGAATATTTTACTTTCATTTTAGGAAATGTAATTAAATATTTCAGATATTTATTATCTTTAATTATTTAATGGAAATTTTTCCAACATTTTATTAATGTTATTTTTGCCATTTTATTGATATTTTCCTGACATTTTGTGAATATGAATGGTATGAATTTTCCTGATATTTTCCTCGAATTTCAAAAATCCGACATCTCTCTGACATCTTAAGAACATTTTATGGATTTTTCCTAAAATTTTATTAATATTTTTTTTCCATTTTATTATTTTTATTTCTGGTCGTTTAATTTATATTTTTGTGACATTTTCCGGGCATTTTTTGCTGAAATATTTTTATTGTAAAGAAAGAAAGAAAGAAAGAAAGAAAGAAAGAAAGAAAGAAAGAAAGAAAACGAAAGAAAGTTTGCCTAAACTCTGTGTCAACGCCCAGTCCCACAAGACTTCACTACCCATGATTCCTGTCGCCTGGTATTTCCGGGTAGGTAGTCCAACGGCCATATTTGATTTGATTATGCTGTTCTGGCTGCGACAACCAGTTTAGCCAGTTTCCGACTGAAAAAAAAACGTCTTTTCTTGACTACGAGGCCAGTTTGAAGATTCATCCGCATCGACCTCCAGCCGCAGTCACACTAACGACAGTTTCTACCCTGTAGTCGACGATGAATCCCGAATAGTAAGTGTCAGTTCGGCTGTGGATGGTGACAGGTCCGGTCGAGCTGTCAGCTCCGCCGGGGGAAGCTAAGCTAAGCTATGCTAGGCTAACGTCAGCTAGCCGGATGAACCGGTAGACTGTGTACAAAATGAACGTCAGCTGCTTTGTCTGCGGTGCTGAGTTAGCGAGCCGAGAGCTGGGACCGTCGAATCACTGACTTGTTCTTGTTCGGTACCAAACTGGACAGTTTCTGATCGATGTAGTGTCGATTAGCTCAACGAACTATTTGCCTTTTGTTAACAGTCAGCTAGCTTAATGTGACATGGAAGTAGCGCTGTTGGCTAGCGGGCTAACCGGATAGCTACGTAGCGCTACGGAGGATTCGACACGCAGGTTCGGTTCTGATAACAGACTGCAGCTCTGTCAGCGAACATGAAGCGAACTGAAGGTCTGGACCGATCCGGTGCTGAGCCACAGCTGAGTTCGGTTCGTGGGAGACGTTCTCCTGTCACTGCTCCGTGTTCTG